CAGTGTTTGTTTGTTTGTTTAACGCCGCAGTTAGCAATATTCCAGCTATATGACGGCGGTCTGTAAATAATCGAGTCTGCACCAGACAATCCAGCATTTGACATCATGAGCATCGATCCACGCAAATGGGATACGATGACATGCATCAACTAAGTCAGCGAGCCTGACCACCCGATCCCGTTAGTCGCCTCTTACGACAAGCATAGTCGTCTTCTACGGGAAGCATGGGTTGCTGAAGACCTATTCTACCCCGGATCTTCTTGAGTAATACGAAACAATGTAGGCAAATGGGAACACTTGTGAAAAGAAATAAAAACACATGCTGTAGGATATATGCCCTCTGTTGTATATTGGGTGTATACTGTTTGTTAGTTGTATCGTGTATACTGTAATTGAGTATGACGTATGCCCTACCTTGTATATTGGTGGTATACTGTATGTTTATAGTATCGTGTATACGCTATGTTGCAAATGCTGTATGCTCTATATTGTATATTGTTTGTATACTGTATGTGAAATGTATCGTGTATTTTGCATGCTGTAGTGTGTATTTTTATTATGTATTTTCGATTGGTGTTAATGATTGTTTTATATGTTTTGTGATGTTTGTTGTGTTTCATGAACAAAGATGTGTTCCTTATGACAACACGCACAGTCCTACCCGTTTTTGTTTTTGTTGTTGTTGTTTTAGGGGTGTTTTTTTTACATCATTTATTCATGTTAATTGTCCACGATTTAACATGGCCCTGTCCTACCCGTAAAGACATGTATTATGTATACACATTACGTCTTCAAGAGGATGTTACATCAGTCAATATGTCGCGTGCAGAAGCAGAATATAGCCACTGGTGTGAACTGAAACCGACTAGAGGAGGCGCCGTGTTGCTATGGTAACAAATATTTGTGTTAAGATTACAATGAATCATTTACTTGAAAATAGATCATAGGAAGAAACGTGTACTACCAGAGTACCAAAGGGCATTTGGTATATTTAGTTAATGCACACAATTGGATTGCTAATAAAACAACACAATTATATAGAACGTTATGTGTCGAGACTGCCCCTGCATATTTCGAAATGTTCATGCAGATGTGAGGGGGCTCGGGTAGCCTAGTGGTTAAGGCGTTCGCTCGTCACGCCGAAGACCCGGGTTCGATTCCCGACATGGGTACAATGTGTGGAGCCCATTTCTGGTGTCCCCCGCCGTGATATTGCTGAATATTGCTAAAAGCGGCGTAAAACCATACTCACTCACTAATGCAGATGTTTTATTGAAGTAATGTAATAATGTATTATTGAATTAAACATAACACAATCATGTGCTTGATCCGGCTTGTGTGACTACATCAGGCCATGTGATTAATCAATGTTTGCTAAGCAACAGTTAACACTATTATTTATCCTGTAACATGCTTCTGAGTCACTGTCTGTAGAAACCACGTGTTATTTCAAATAATGAATAGAAAGTGGCCGTAGAGGAGCTTATATGTTTTCGGGGAATCACGATTATGTTTCTAAAATAGTCATTCAAATGGCAAGGAACCTGTTGGAGACAAATTTATCCGAGGCTAAAACAATCAAAAGTACTTACTTGACTGTCATTACTGACATTTAAAATGACACACTCACGTAAGGACACACTCGTTTCGGGAACACTGGTATCATCGCTATATCGCTACAGCTACAGGCGACTGTACGTGCTTATATTGGCCACTTGCAATTTGTCTGCACATTTCGTTAGTACGAAAGAGACATATCATGATGACCCTTAATGTTTCCAAGTAAATATAAATTCCGATGAAAGCAATGTTTCGTTGTTTTACTCATGTATTCTTCGCTCAACTCCTCTTTGATTGTGGAGATTATGATATCAATTATTTATGTCCGATTATGGCCTTTCGATGTCACAGGACCAACTTGCTATGCCTATTTCTCCTTCAACATACAAATCTTATTCAGATTCAGTTGCTGTGATGACGTCATGGCGCTGTACCTGTGTCCTGGGGTGTTATCCATATTTGTAACCTTTACTGGATTGCCTTCCAGACTCGATTATTTACAGACCGCCGTCATATAGCTGGAATATTTCCGAGTGCGGCGTTAAACAACAAACAAACAAACAAACATCATAACGCGATCACACCAATGCAATGAAATCATTATGGAATAAAACAAAATATTCACTTGGTGTAGATAATAATCTTCTTTTGCAAATCCCAAACCATGTTTCTGAAAGAAAATGCAGCCTTTAATTGTGAAAGTTGTTATTCTGAGGTCGACCTTGTGCACTCCACTAACAGGAGTGACGCAGATCAGAGAAGTTTACGGCTTAAGTGAAACCCCTGTCGCAGTCAAACCAAGGTTCAAATTCACTGTAAATAACTCATGGGTATCGAGGTGCTTTGACATGTATGGATTACCTTTTGACGTGAAAAGCACACCTGTTGGGTTTTACTAAATCGATAATACATCGTAACCTATCGCCACAGGAACTCGATGATAGCGTGTATAACACAATAAATTCGTAAAGAAAAAAAAAATCACACCCCTCTATATACATAGAGACAAGGAGTGACACCCGCCATCTTGGTTCTTATTCAAGATTTCGCACTCGGTTCGAATCACAGCTCGATATCGCATGAAATATGAATGTCACTTATTTCAACCTATTGGAACTTGCTAAACAAACCATAGGCTACACAATCGTGTTCATCTGTGGTCACCTTACCTCGTATTTATTTTAAAACAACTGTTTTCTCTATACGATTATATTATGTTATACACGCTATCATCGAGTTCCTGTGCCTATCGCCGATATGCGACATCCATCTTCCAGAGGCAAGAGAGTTAACTGACTATAAAAGTCCAGTTTCTACCCTTGCCGAACTAGGCTGGTATTATGGAGTATACATTTTGGCAGGACTAACGAGTCTATTCATAGTCCAATCAAAATCGCGCAACGAAATCGAAATCCGGTTCGTAAACTTTCGTGCAGATTTCGGTCGATTGCCAGATTTGGAAAGCATGTGCACCGCCAACTCGCTGTCAACAGATATTTTCCAAATCTTTTCATGTTTTTAATCAAAGTGCTCACGTTAGTTGATGCACTTCGCGATGTGAGACCCGTTTTATAACAATATAGATCTTGATTATCGATCAGATCGTCCTGACTCGGCGCCGCTATTTTGTTTGAAAATGCAAGAGATACGAGAGGTGGAATCTGATTGGTCCATAGGAGAGGCTTAGAAGGGACATAACTCGTAATAACCACTGGTGGTGCTACGATCGAGCCCAGGAATTCCAGCCTAGGTCGGCAAGGGTGGAAACTGGACTTTTAATTCAGTTTACTCTCTTGCCTTGGGAAGATGTGCGACACCATGACGGGCTGCTGAGTCCCTGTAGTCCAGCCCCACCATGATCAGTATAATAAATCCTTTAACTCAATATGTGCTTGGATGTTATCAACCGTCAACCAAGGTCGCCTTTTTTTTCTCTCTACTTATAGCTGGTATCTGTGGTATATCAAAAACTGATTTATTGAATTGCCCTTTGATTATATTAAACATTGTAGACCTCAACGAAGTAAGCCATACGTTAATTCTTTATTAAAGGCCCTGTTTATCAGACAGCTGTCAGCGTGATTTAATGCACCTACCGTTCACAAACAATCACTTCTACATCCTGTCCCCCTGTCTCTGAGTGGGCGGTGTTTAACGCCGTAGCCAGTGATATCACGGCTGTCTGTACATTATGTTAAATCATTGATATTATAAGCAGCCTCCCACGCAACGGGGTACTACGACTTCAACCAGGTCACCGAGACTGATCATTCGATTCCTTTTGAGTTGTCTCATACGATATGCATAGATTACTGGGGACCAAGTATCACCCGGAGTACCCACGGGGCCGCATGACCTCAGTGAATATGACAGACAGACAGACAGATAGACGGATTCCTTTATTTAATAGCACAAGCCACGAATAGTCCCTGGCCAGTACATATAGTTTGATATATCAGGATCAGGATGACGAGGGTTTACGTTGACTGAAATGTTTATAACATATGCTCAGCACGAAAAGCTTCATACACAAATTCTCCTAGCAACTTCATAGTATTCTTTTTCTTGCAAACCAATACTTCAATAAATATATACACAGATGGATGCAAAGGCGCTTATAACGCAAAAACATAGCAGCTACAAGACATGGTCACACCCAGTGTCAGTATACTATATAAAGTATTGACCAATCATGTCACCATATGTCTTGTAGCTGCTAGTTTTTGCACTATAAGCCCCTGTGGATGGATGTTAAAATAATATTTGGGAATATAATTATTCCCGAGGTCTAAGTATGCTGGGTACATCAAACCAAAGTAAAATATGCACCAGTTAATATTTTTTCTAGAAAGCGACATGTACAATATATCCGCAGATGTTCAACACCTTTGCTTTCCTCTAAACAGGACTGACATTCTAAGAGAGGAGTCATTAGCCTGGTGAAGCTAAAAGCACAACGTCCGTTATGTAACTGTTGACGCCTGTTATTTTTGTACCAAGTCTATCAATACATAGGCTCCACCCTCCCTGCTGAGTCTGCTAATTACAACTTGCCAACATAAGCTAGCTGCAACACTAACCGTCCGCACTCTCCCACAGCCCATGATGAAGTCACCTCATGGCATTTACGTTCAACAACTGATATTCAGCTGTATAACCAGCATCGGCCTCCAGCAACCTATGCTTGTCGTAAGAGGCGACTGACGGGATCGGGTGGTCGCTGACTTGGTTGATTCATGTCATCGTATCCCAATAGCGTAGATCGATTATCGAGATCTCAATCACACTACTGATTATAGAACGCCGTCATATATTTGGATATTGCTGAGAGCGGCGTAAAACAAACAAAGCAAAACTTAAAACCAGCGCATTATCATGCACTCTGCGCTGATACCACAACTCCACCAGGGTCATGACAAAAATGATAAGCCAACGCCTTGTTAAGCGAGATACTTTATTCTGCACTATGTCGACCGCTGAATTTGTCCTGTTAAAGTTGCGTTTCAACTACAACATATCGAAAGCGATGGCAGGTCCCTTCGTTTCGGGAATCTTCGCTTAATCTTAATTTTAAGTATCATCTTTATTGACAACATTATTACAAACAAATTAAGCTGAGTTCATGAATACAATTTTGATCGAAGGCTCTACTGGAGGAGAAAGTATATTTCAAATCTTTCTTTTTATTATTACTGTTACTAAGCGTTTGCTATTTACTGAAAAAACGCCTTTACGATAAACATGCACCTCGAAGGGACTACTGTTCGGGGCACTTTCGGATGCAGACAACAAGGCCACAACTAATTATTCAAGGCATCGGTGCAACGAAGCGGCGACGGATGTGATTCACATGAAGCGGTAATGTTCGGTAGGACTATGTATTGTATTATCTTGTAGGTAATTTGTTTAGGTAATTGGTGACAATACAACGAGCTGAAGTGGGCGGGGATGAATATCTGATAAATAATTATAATGGTCTAATGGAAGCAGATAAATGTATCTCTGGTACTGATCACGACAAACTGTCAAGCATAATCATAACAAATGCTGTCATATTTGGCTTATCTGTATTAGGCGACCAAACAATACTTAATCAGAAAGTCTAGAGTTTGGCGGTGACAAAATTATGACATTCTGAGCATACTCTGCAGTTGGATCCGATACTCTGTCCTGCTGTGGCACAATCATTTCAAGTTTAGCTATTTCGCTTCGAGCCTGACAAATGGTATGATAATGCGTGACAGTTACCGCGTATCACATTAGCATTTCCTGTAGCTACTAAACGGGGCAAATGTGTATGAATGTCATACCGATCTGCATTTCGTGACCACCAGCAACTTTCCGGAATATGTATGATTGATTCAATCTATAAACGAACGAGCCATTAGTGGCCAAAACACTTTCAGCTGAAATGTTTTTTTAGTGTTAGAATTTCAAAAAACGTAACATCACAATTTACTAAAATAGTTCACAGTATGGATATCTAAAGATATCGATAAAATAAGAAACAAGTACAATGAACTCAAGGTATAACGAACTATTAAAGCCATTAAATTCAGATTTATATACCTGAAACTCGGTATTCCAGAGGGTAATGACGTTAATCATGACTCCTCGAGTAAGAGGATGTTTTTAGAGCCAATACTTCGCTATATCAGGAGTTGACTGTATAAGTATAACATACATAATTAGGCGATACATTGACAGCTATACCTCACCTCGATGGCCACAAAAGGCCACGTCATTATGAGGGATGGGCGTGCCAGCCAATGGAATCGCCCCATTGATGGGTAGGACCACGTCCTTCACACTTGTACACCAACAAATGCGTTGAGACTTACACCGGTAAAATCAAATGAAAACAGGGTTGTATATATTTGGATATCAAAGACTGAATAAATTAGAAAACTGATATTTCTGAGAAAGCGTATCCCTTTAACCTGTGAAATCATATGTTAAGTTTATGGCGAAATGTTCCCATACAATTGAAAGAAAAAAAATGTTCATTAGCTCAACTTTCACAAGAGGATCTCAAATGACACGCCAAAAATATCACGTTTCACAAAGCAACAAATAAAAAAAAAACACAAAATAACCAGGAAAGTCTCAAGAATAACCGGATCCGGTGTGTATAAGGGAGCTTCACAACATCGTCATGCAGGGTTAATACTATTCTATGACGTTAGTTTCATAATGATTTAACCATGTTCTAAACACACATTAATCACTTTTAGGTACGAAAAGTACGTTGACATGTAGAATAGCATGAACCCCCATATTCAATAATAAACACTGGATACGTAAGTTTGATTCCATGAACTCCCTTATAACACTTCCTTAGCACAAACCGATAGGCTGCTGAAATCATATATGTGTATTTAAAATAGTCAATACATCTTACCAAAGACAAATCCTCATGCGTGTGTGCATGCTTTTACTTTGATGAGGTTTTAAAAATTCATTGAACCATTTTTCATATTTGATAGATTTCAGCAGCACTATCTACCCCTCTCAATCACGTCACCTAACCCTGCTTCTTAGTCTCGCGGTTCCTCCTCTCGTATTCCAGTAGTGCCTTCGTCTTGACCCCACCAGCCCTCATTGGTGGGCAGTACGACCCGAACAGGCGGTCAAAGTGGTTGAAGAAGGGCTGGTAGTTGGTCAGCGGCTTCTGATGGTGCATGTCATGTTTCGGAGCACCGCCGAACAGGTCGAAGGGGAAGAAGTTGTTGACGGTGAAGGGGAAGTCGAAGCCGGTGTGCCCCTCGACGCTGATGAAGACGCTGAAGATCATGTAGCTCCAGGTGGTGAGGCAGTGCGAGTTGAAGAACCAGGTGTTGGTGGTAGTGAGGAAGCCGACGGTCACAAGCTCCCACGGGTGGAGGTACTGGGTCACCCACGTGAACGGACTGCTGTAGCGGTGGTGCAGGGCGTGCACCTGCTTGTACAGGAAACGGAACTGGAACGAGAATGGCATAGCTTAAAGTTACGTCATCTGTGTGATTTGTGCAAGTCCTGAAATTTAAAGAATGGTCTTTTCAAGTGATTTGAGACGTTGTTTTCATTATTGTCTGAAGACCTGCGTCCAAATTTAAACTCGTAGCGCTGGAACATAGACTTACATCAGTCGTAGCTCTACAATTGCTTTTCTAAATAAGGGATATCGTATCGGCCTCCTTGTTTGATAAATTTACCTGATTGCGTATTCACTAGCTCCTATTCAATTCAACAACGAATCTGAATAATTAAATGTGTCTGTCATCTTCTCAAAACCGTCATATGTGTTTATCTGTTTCAGCCCTTGCAACTGTTCAATGTGCAGAGACAGGTTGATTATTGTGAGCAATATTAATATTATTTGTGACAGGGAAGAAAAGTACTTAAGGTTCTCTTGGAATTCAACGGCAAACAATATAAACAGGAAAGGATGTTGCCCTGCGCGTTAGTTCAGCACGAAGATATTGATGGACAACGACAGAAAGGAACGCCAAAGGAGAACAAAGTGAAAGGATTCCATGATCCCGACAGGCGACGCAACTCGGTATACTCGTTTTCAGGTGCATGTGTATTGAATTATATAACTCAAAGCATTAAAACATCTACATGATTGACGTCACCGACTAACGCGTGTGCACAAATAATGATGGAATATGCAGAAACTAACGGTAATATCATACAGAGGATACGGGGCAGGTAAACGGGAAGATGCAAAATAATTAGGTTGGAACTGATCCCAAGACACCTCATGTTAGCACATGGTGTAATCAAACATATTGATGTTCACATACAAACCTACATCCGAAAATAAAGTATATTTATATTAACCAAACATACCTAATGTTTATCCAATCAATATACCTGGACAGACCGAATGTCGGATTACACAGAGTTTTACTGTATATGGTTGTCAGTTGCGAACATCAGACTACCTTATATGTGTCTGTTTCGTGAAGCTTGGCCCTCGGTGCGTACAATATTCATGTTCGCTAACTAATGACCATCAATACACGTGTACTTGCAATTTTAACACCACATCTTTTCAAGATCTAAACATTAGTATACATCACAATGAGAATCTTATCATGAATACGTGGTTAAGCCAGGGAGTCCATACACGGCAGGCATGACGCATGTACCAGCGTTTCTCCAACCGCCTGATCGAATGCAGCAGCGCCCGTCAGTACAGTGAAAGCAGATGACCTAACATGCAGACGTTTTTGTTGTGGTTAAGAAGAATTAACTCTTGTGATTCTAACATTGTGTGTGTGTGGGCTGGTTGTCAGTCTTGCATCTTGAGGTTCAGGGTGTGTGTGAGGGAGCGGAGAGGACCTGGGTAGGTCCTTTTTCAATTTAATTCCTTGGACACATACTAAGTGGGAGTGGGAGGGGAGGATACCGGGCTAGTCAGTGCTACCTGTCACGGTACCCCGTGTGCGTGGGAGTGGATGGTAGGGTTGAGAGGTCCATGGTTGTCGGTGCTGCATCTCGCGGTACACGGTGTGTGTGAAGGAGGGGAGAGGACCAACGTTGCCGGACGCTATGAACGTCAGATTGCCATTAATAATTCACCCAAGATGACATTTGCTTTATTACTTCAACAAATGAACAGATATTGAGAATAAGACTGATTTCCTCATACAGTTGTCATTGACATAATGAAAATGAGGAAATAGTTCCTGTCTGGAGTGGCTCGTGAATAATATCGGCACATGTCACTTAACCCTATTGTGAAAAAACATGAATGTGTTGAATGTATCAAACATTGGTCTGGGTGGTCCACGGGGTACACCTTTCACATGCGCAGGGGTTTGAATATATATAACACGGGGTAAGTTTAATATACCATAAATAGATACGTGAGATTCGTTCCACTACGTACTCAGGTAACTCCCCGAGCCACCAGCCACCTGCTACTTATAAAAGTAGCCCTGCATGTGACGGTTACTAACATCTACCACCAAGTAGAGTTATGTGTACACGGAGCTGCGGGGTCAGCTGGGAATGACAGATAAAACTGCTCTCAACAGAGATTATTACGTCACAACCTGTATTAGGGGCGTGTTCAGGCGTCCCGGTCAAGTGGCGTGCTCTCGGAGAATCTTCGAAATCTGTCCCCGGGCACAGGTTGAGTTTCACGTCCTTCTAAGCGCAACAGTGGATGACTAATAACATCCTGGCCTATAGAAGTACATCCTCATTTTCCCAGCGCTTTACAGCTCTATTCTATAACGATAATTTCATATACAGAGAGAGATATAATACACTAGATGACCGAGAATATACTAATGTTCATGGTAAATTGACCCTTTCGCTAAATGCTGCAACCTTTTCATTCCACCGCGTTCCGGAAGTATTATATTTTTTTACGTTTTATTTATTTATTTATTTATTTATTTATTAAAAAGTAATTATTTATAAAAAAAAATATGTGTGTGTGTGTGTGTGCGTGTGTGTGTGTGTGTGTGTGTGTGTTGGGTGCGGGGCATTCACAATAGAGATACATGTAGATGATTGATTAGGGACTATGTCACTGAGAAGATTGTGTTGTTTTTCTTGTAAGCCAAATACAAATTCACATCACGACAGCATGTTGTCTCGGATAGACAAACCAATGGTTGATAGCATGAGCAAAGACTCACGCCGTCGTGCATTAGCATGCATTAAGTACTGAACACGACTTTCCATTGCGTTCCATATACAGAAATGTGTCAACCAAATATAGTATTCTTTACTTTACCGCGGTAACTTACGCGTCCATCAAATGGCATCTAGTTTTCTCCGTTAGGCTGATTGTATACAAAGTGACCCTTAAACCACAGACGTCAAATTGCCATGGGGCACTCGATGACATCAAACTTAATCATACGATATACTAATTAGGTCAATAGGACAGCTAACGGTCGCCCACTCACTCCAAGTTTCATAGAAACAAGGAAGTCATCGATATCCCCCGCCCTTTAACAAAGATTTGTTTGCTTCTTGTTAATTTACACTGCAATGCGAGCAGCGCACCACGCTATCAGGGCAAATACAAAAATCTATATCCCAGCAAAACGACGTTTTTGAGGGGGAAAAACACGAAAAACGACTAGTTTTAAATTGGGAACAAGGTGCATAAATAACTGAGCATGTCTGTCTACTTCTGAAACTGGTTCCCGCCAGGCATGTCGTCTGCCTCCTAGAACTCCATTCCTTAACGACGGGCGTGCATGGTTGTTCGGCGCACTGAAGAGTCGGCTTGCACGTCATCGCAGAATCATTCCTGACTAATCAGCATGTTGTTCTTTTAATAATTCAGTTCTTCAGTTGCTGCATCTGATGTACTTGAAACACAGAAGCAGACCTCTCTCGGTGATAAGGGAATCAATGGATCTCACGTGGGAGTATTGCAATATTAACATAATCGTTCTGTACTTTCTGACGTGTAACACATTCACATCTGGCATAGCCCTTTCACTTTGCAGCATAAACTATCGAGCGATATTTGTCCGCCATTCTAAAAGGCTTCAGGTGTTCAGGACAATCTGATTGACTGAGTAAGTGAGTTGTTTACGCCGCTTTTAGCAATATTCCAGCAATATCACGGCGGGGGACACCAGAAATAGGCTTCACACATTGTACAAATGTCGGGATTCGAACCTGGGTCTTCGGCGAGACGAGCGAACGCTTTAACCACAGGGCTACCCGACCGCCCCCAGGGTAATCGGAAAATACTGTAACTGTAACATTCATTCTATTGATCAATACATAATTGAATGTCATGTTATCATCATGCTTTGTTACACATTCATAGTGTGCATATTTGTGATGCGCCAAATACACACCCTAAAGCAAGCTCAAACTACATTATTACCCTGGTCAATGAATTAGAGTGCACTCGATTTTCAATCTCAGCTCCTTGGGGTGGGGAGTATACAACCGAAGCTGACTGACTGAGTGAGTGAGTGAGTATGGTTTTACGCCGCTTTTAGCAATATTCCAGCAATATTACGGCGGGGGACACCAGAAATGGGCTTCACACATTGTATCCATGTCGGGAATCGAACCGGGTCTTCGGCGTGACGAGCGAAAGCTTTAACCACTAGGCTATCCGACCGCCCCCCTGAAGCTGACTGAGGCGCTAGAATGTTTACAGTCATCCTACCAGGTACCCATTCACTGCTGGGTGAACAGTGGCGCAAAGAAAATTGTCTTAGGAGACACCCTATGTGCTACAATGATGGCAGGACATTAACACAAGAAACGTAACACTTAATTGTCTGGCGACACGTTAATGTACTGAACAAACAGGGATCTACACCTATGGCTAGGACAAGCATATACATAAGAGGAAGGTTTGAATAGATCAGACACAGCGTTAGAAATTGGCACTAGTCCTATAGTCCTTGTCAAACTGCCCAATAGTAAAGGTACCATAAGGACTAGTAGAAATTTGCCATTTTTAAGGGTTTTGCTACATGTTATCATTATAAGGACAAGTGGGCTAAAACTGTTAGTTTCTATTGCTGCAGACAGACACATCACACATTAACAGCATCGAGCATGAGAAAGTGGTTGCGGTATGTTACAACTATATACCGTCGGATCATAGGTTTTCGGACGTCATACGTTTTCGGACGGCCATGTTTATCGCGATTACACGTGCTAAAAGGGGTGTTGCATTACAGTTATTCATTTGAGTAGAGAGAAAACTACGAATGTTTCTTAACCGACCAATCCGTGTACATCGACACAGTTCGTTTAGAATACATGCTGATGTTTCAATCCATTTATAATGTCATTCCTTACTAAAATAGTCAACTGTCAACATTCCATCACAACAGGGTTCAGCAGAAATCAATACTATTGACATAAGGACGCTATATTGCCATGACCTCTGCCCAATAATAGATATACAAGTCGCCCAAGCGGGATGCTTCTTTCTGGCAATCAGCTTGTTGGCTTGCATGGGACTGGCATTAACAACAGATAAAACATTGTTAAGAAGGCTTGACTATTTATATTTCGCGTTCGCCAAAATCAATTTACTCTTGCGGCTGAGTGGTAACTTTCGCTCTCCCCTAGTAGTGCAGGCGTACCCAAACGGTGTCACGAGTGTTCACAAGGGAAAGGTCACTGGGTATCGGCAGCGGCACGAGGGAGCCATGTCGACTGCACGGTAACACTGTAACGTGGACAAAAGATTACTCTTCCGGATAATAGTTATCACCATATCCCAGTTTCCTTCTAGTTCGAGGGTGAATCCTAACACCAGTGTTAGAAATTGGCACTAGTCCTATAGTCCTTGCCAAACTGCCCAATAGTTAAGGTATCATAAGGACGAGTAGAAATTTGCCCTTTTTAAGGGTTTTGCTATGTGTTATCATTATAAGGACTAGTGGTCTAAAACTGTTAGTTTCTAACGCTGCTAACAATAGCCCTGCACCATGACTGGAATATATGTATTTCATGAAACCAAAATTCTAGAATTCTAGATCATAAAAAAGTAAGCCTTGCAAACTCTATGAAATCAGCATCAGGAAAAAGAAATTTAGAGGAGAGAAATGTGTTGTGTAATACAAGATTTCATAGACTATGTTAGGCTATCGTAACCTATAGCGATCTGTAAATATCAGCCCATATGCCTACAGCGATCATGAACACCCGAACTCTCCACCAGGGTATGCTCACAGAATGCAGATTGTTACATGGTAGACAGAACTAGACACCGTTGGTCAAACTAGTTAGCAGCTCATTATATTTCGTCCTGGTGGTGTATGTAAATAGCTGGATTTTGGAAGGAAATCACTATAGTCCCTTTTGATTTTCTCTGGTCTTAGACTAACATACTAGTGGCCGTGTCTCCAGAATGGGATACACACTAGTGTACATATTTAAACAGCTTTGAATATTTGTATGTGAACGGGAAACCGACAAACATCGTCACGATCTTCCAGAACTCGCACTTGAACGTAAACTGGTTCCCCACCAATTATACTCCACAATCTCTGCAACTCTACTGCCTCCTCTATTAGAGAAACATGGCATCACCCCTTGAGGTTAAAACTTTACCTCCAATTCACTTAGGGTATCAACCTGTTTGTCCCCACTGAATGTATCCAGCAACCCCTCTAATTAGGTTTGTTTGTATGACAGCGGTCTGTAAATAATCGAGTCAGGACCAGACAATCCAGTGATTGACATCATGAGCATCGATCCACGCAATTAGGATACGATGACATGTATCAACCACGTCAGCGAGCCTTGACCACCCGATCCCTTTAGTCGCCTCTTACAAGCATAGTCGCCTTTTGTGTGGCAAGCATGGGTTGCTGAAGACTTATTCTAACCCGGATTTTCCCGGGTACCTCTAATTAGGCGACTAACGGGACCGGTGGTCAGACTCTACGACTTGGTTGATGGATGTCATTGTATCCCAAATGCGTACCTCAATGCTCATGATGTTAATCACTGGACTGACTGGTCCAGATTCGATTCTTGACAGACCCCCGTGACGAAGCTTGAATATTGCCGCGTTAACACACGTGCAAAAACACTGGCGGTTCACGACGTTCACTAGCCGAATCTCTTTTACAACTTACTAGACACTCAAGTACATCATAAATGTGTTTGATCTCAATCAGGGGCTTCCAGTACCACCTAGTATCCATGTGTCCTCGTTTAAGATAATTACTTGAGGTCTTCCTTCAAGAGATTCATTTAATGGTCGGGAAGGGGTTGGGGTGGGTTGGGGTTTGGTGAGGTTTGGGGTGAGGGTCTTTGTTCAGCTATGTACATCAGGACCACCTCCAGACTAACATCTAGTCTCTGACATTAACATATTTTACAGAAAAAAACAGTTGTTAAATTATAGTTATAAAATATAATAAAAAGGAGCCAAGATACTTTCTTCCTGTTACAGCAGTAATCTAGACTTGCCCAATATTATAGACTTGCATGCGCTGTATTTGAATACATTTTTCAGGGTCTGTATGACAGACTCGACCAGCTCTTATATATGAGGACATAGTCCTCTGTGCCATCCATATAGCTATCTCAAGGACGACTACCCCACCCCTGTACACCTCCTTAAAAAGATAGGCCATGTACCGCAATGAGATATTACACGGATTATCGAAGCACTTAAACAGTGATAAATAACATTCCTGTTATTGATAAGGTGTTCACACAACTGCCAGTGTCAGTTTGTCCTTTCAACAGTACAACAGGTCAAGCAGATCCATTGTAACGTATCTCTAACCTGAACAGGAATTCATGTCTCATAATCAGCACACATTCCAGTCCGTGTCATGGAGTTTAGATATGATTCGCTCTGGTCTATGTGACACTGGTTATTATGGCAGGGCGCCGCAAGTCGCCTTGGGTGGACTCATTTAACTTATGCTAAGATGTTAAAATAAACTGAAAACAGGACATGGCGTGCAGAAATAGAATCAGCACAGGCGTTTCGCACCATTATCGTGTTTACAATACCCTGTGCCTTTAAAGAAACATAATAGGATATTAACTTGCATCATGGAGGTTTCACGGGGAAAGAATATTTTTAATACTGACTGAGAGTGTCAGTATGACCCGATATCATGGCTGGCTGGTGATGTTTCATTCGTGTACCTGCTTTTTTATCACATCGATGTCATGTATTTCACATAAGGCGCCACGATTTTACACCAGACCCTACTGGTCTAACGGGTCGTAGTATGTGCAGGATTAGTTGACATTACTTGGGCAGATCTTCTCATTACATGGTCCATTTTCTGATGTTTGTTAATACTTTGTACATAAAACTCGAGCGTCTTTACAGAGTTATCTTTTCAAGAATTTTACATTTATACATTACACATATTTTGCTTTAGAAGATAATTGAGTATCGTTTCGTCGGTGGGAACACTCTTTTTTACGCCAAATAGTACTGTAACTTTCAAATATCATATCATCTATATGCACATTGATCCATTTAAAAATACTGACCCCAAATGGAAGGACAGTTGGACAGTAAAACAAATAATGTTGTATTGTTTCCGGCACTCCACATGTGTCACATTTATGACTGGTCTTGACACTATCGTGTACCTGCTTATTTCCAAGTCGCCGTGACATAGCAAGAATACTGCAGGTTATTGTGTAAAGGAACATTCACTCATCTACTAACATGGCTAATTTCCAACAATTACAAGTCATAAATATATCCATGTTTCCTTGTATCCATCCTCTATCTCCAGGGCTCGCATTTCGGTAAACCTACACTAAAGTATAATACTTGTATCACATTACATTGCAACTTATACTGAGCTGACACCAGTCTGAGATGGGAATATTACTGATACAAACATGCATTTGTTCTAATTGTTCATATGCAATTTAATCATGAAATATTATGTTTAGATTAAGTTAAATTTATGATATCTTGAGGACACCAGTTACATGTTACACATAACACTTCCTACACGAACAATTACCTGTCCAGCAAAATCAGTTAATCAACCAAGGTACGACTACCGTCTTTATCTTAAAGGGGGCAGGGAGCAGGCTCGGTCCCGCAAGAGCCAGATGAACTACATGGAACGGGGTGTGAGCCAAAAACACTAGACTTGAGAAGAGTCCCTTTCCGAAGCAGAACCTCATTGTTGGACCTGTGAGTGTTGCTCCGACAATAGATGCATTCAATTAGTCAGATTGAAAAGCTACCGTGCATCATATCGAGATACTAGTTATCCTATGATGCCTCTGGATTATTTTGTTTGTTTATCTGTTTGTTTGCAACATTGCATTTATATGACGTCGTTCAGTACATAATCGATTCATTTACAGGTGTCTTTAAGGGTAGCACATCCTCACGTCCAGATATCTTTTAATAGAAAGGAGCCCAGAGAATATACTCATTACCAAATACTGAAGAAATCTAGACTTGCTAAAGATTTATAGGTTGTGTGTGTTTCTAATAATCTTCGTTTCAGGGTCTTTCCTGGGACACATGGATTACACATGGAAATGTCTTTAATAATAATAATAATAATAATAATAACAATAAACTGAATAGAAATGTGTAGGCATTCTGCTTGATGTGGCACGTGCAAAGCAGAACTCGCAACTGACTGAAATATAATTATTAATGGTAATGTGCGTGTACGCAACCGTGACGTTGTCATTGTTTACAACGAATGTAAGGGTATATAATATTATACGTGTTATTACCGTTACACGTCAATTTGATATAGGCTCTCGAGGAAAGTCACCTATTCCTGATCGGAGTCCTTTGTGATTATTTAGTGAGTGAGGTTAACCCTGATCTGCCTAACGTACGCGACTCTTCACTGCTCCGAGTTAGTGAGTGAGCTACAACTTCAAAGATTTCAGCCAAGATTTTAAATTATCCATCACAGGGGCCTCTCCAGAATTGACATGGGCCCAGACTGAGCATGTTAATAAATGCAAATATTACCTTGTGGTGAGTATAGTGCCACACGTAGTACTGGAAGTCGAAGATCAAGACACTGGCGGCTTGGTGCCAAACGAATTCGAAAAGAGTCGGCGCGAGGTCGGGCATGACAGTGGGCGGGGTCCAGATCCACTGGGCCATGGCGGCAGGCAGAATGAACAGAACATGGTTCCAAAATGTCAGACTCAGGGTATCCATTATCTCGGCTCCTGTCACCTTCCTCGACGGCTGGATTTTGTATTTCTTGTACCAACTCGTCTCCGAGCAAAAGATGTCGATCAACATGAAGGGGATGCAGAGAGAGAGGTAGAAGGAGATGGAGAGAAACACCGGGAACAGGGGGGAGCGAAGGTATTCTTCATACCCATGCCGCATGTCCCAGATCGGTTGAAGGATCCGATCGCTGTTGATAAGTGAAGAGTTTTCCATGTTGTTTGCAGTGTCAGTTGTGGTAAACGGTAGAGAGACCGGATCTAGAAAATGTCGTCTGCTCCCAGCCTCCCAAGCTATATCTGAACTCGCCGCCCGTTCAATGAACACTGATCACTTGTGGTCATTGAAACAATAATATGTCCCAGTAGCTAAAGACGTTTGGACTTGGTTAGACTCTGCCCGACCTCGCACTGTTTATCAGTCGTTTGCTCCTCCTAAACGCTCGCCTTTGTGCAGCCTCTCGCGTTTTCTCGCTTGAAGGTTGGGAAGCTGTCCCGGGCTATGACGTCACGCGGCTGATCGATTCGTGCACCTGCCAACGTTGGCGGAAACATTGAGGCTTTGAAATAAAGCCTTGGTCTGGTGGAGAAAATCGGTATGGTTTTAAATTCACCTTATTGTTAAATCCATAGCTGTATATACGTAAATACGTTTAAAAGAAGGATGTTAAATACTATACCGACTTTAACCGAATAAACGCATATACCACAAGCCACGGTTAATAAAAGAAATACCGGTCTAAGCCTACGAGAGTATACGGGATAAACAGCTTGCCCTCTGTAAACCTTGAGAAGTTACATGTAAAACCTAGAAACATTGTTATCTGATAATTGAACTACATGCATATGTGGTTTAATGGAGCCTTAAAACGTCAAATGATGAACGGTTAGGCCGTATCTCTTGTAAAAATGATAAAAAATAGCTATAAAACACTTAAAATGACGAATAACACATTGGGAGACGACTTTAGAATTTATGTTAACGATATTCCATGTGACACATCTTAGAACGTAATTATTTTAAACCCAACAAACCCAAAGTGTACCAGGAGGTCATACTTTATCACCAATTAACAAAACTTAAAGACAGGTTATGTTGCCACTTATTGTTTACATTAAATAAAGTGTATTTATTCATATGTGCAACTCTCAATAAGTGCAATAAGTACAAGTAAAATATTCCAATTGACGTGGCGCATGAGTGCACCAATCACTCTTCCCTGACGAAGAGCACGTACTGCTCTATGTAAGTAATAACCTATATGGACATACAAAGTACAGGTACCGGAATGTCTGTTATCTGTGCTGATGTTGTAGCTCGCACAGTGGTCCACTTGTATACTGACCTACTGACATTGTCGTATATAGATATGCTACACACAGCGGTGGAGGTGTAGGGGAAGGGAGGTAACTCTAGATCATCTTCACCGTGCATATGTGCCGCACTCAGATGTATTCCAACTGTATGCAGTGTTCGAAATACCTGCCTGCCCGACCGTCCGAGACGGGTTGATTTCAACTCGGGCTGCCAGATTTTCAAATCCCCCTGCCCGATGGTCGGGTTATATTTCATATGTGACAATATTCTAAATATTTCCCGATGATAATCATTAATTCACATGTAAAGATGAATGATAAAATGTAACCAAAAAGAAATCCCGTTAGCTTATCCTGAGAAACATATGATTATAGTGGGCAGGCAGGTTTTGGTCAGGGCTGGCAAGTATTTCAGCTAGCCAGTCCTGTGGTCTGGCTGAAACTTTTGGGAGTTTCATACCCTGACTGTATGGCTGCGGAATTTCAGTTATCGAATCTGCAATCTGCACCAGGTAATCCAGTAAAATAGACGTCACAAGGATTGATCTACGCAACTGGGTACGATGACATGCATCAAGCAAGTCAAGCTTGATCCTCCGCACCCGATCCTCTTATATAGTCACCTAGGTTGTCCAGGTTGACGAAGACCAATCTTAACACGGGTCTTCACGGAGGACATGTAACATACACGATAAAGCTGATAAGTTGTGATATTCCAGTCAATAATTTATACTCATTGCGATATACACCTGTCCACGTAGCATTGGTGATAATACACTCCTCAAAACGTTTAAATCACTTAATGAACATGCCATTCTCATATATATATCAACTTGCGATAATAACATGTGTACCTGTTCGCTGTACTGAATGCATTGTGATCTTAAATTGTTGATTCATAAGCCATAGGTCCATTGTTTAACATAATTGCAAGGTATGCGTGTTTCTTCCAACTAACTGCATGATGTATGTACCGTTCAACATGTTAGGTTGAAATGAGTATGGAAAACAAATTAATATTTGGATAACATGTATTCGTTGGGATATATTTGTTAAAGATAGCGTTTACCCACAAGCATAAAATGATTACTCATTTTCTACAACGCTGAGGTTACAAGATGTACAGGTATTATATTATATAATTTTAAATATGCCTTTAAAGTTCTTTAAATCCAAATAACTTACTCTTAATTGAGCAAGCGAGACTCGAACCTCTTTATTGTAACAGACAATAAAATATGTTGTTTGCAGAGAGAATAGGTATATGTAGATTTGTTATTTCTTAGTTCTTCTATCCACATTTGCTGAAAACAATCTTTAGCAATATGAAGTAATAATGACATACATATTTCAATGTTATCCCAATGTCTTGACTTCTGGAGTAACATATACAAGCACGGATGCAGCACGTATGTTTGTTTGTTTGTTTGTTGTTTAACGCCGCACTCTGCAATTTTACAGCTATATGACGGCTGTCTGTAAATAATCGAGTCTGGACCAGACAATCCAGTGACTGACATCGTTAGTCGTCCCTTTCGACAAGCATAGTTGCCATTTACAGCAAGCATGGGTTGCAGAAGATCTATTCTTCCCCGGATCTTCACGGGTGCAGCACTTATTTTTGCAGTTTTGCATTTTGTTTTGCAGTTCGCGTTTAGTAATCGTGTAATTGTTTTGAAAAAATATCAGTTGAAAGCGGTTAGAGGTAACATTATGTTATATGTATTTGGGATTACACTTACGTGCCCTACTTTGAGAGTATGGGTTCGAATCCTAGATCGGACTCCACACACCAAAAAGTACTTCACTAAGAATGTGTGATCCCAATTGTAGCATATGTTACAATAAGTAATTTTGTAGGGTATAAGTTAAAGCTTATTTGTGTACAGCTGGTCCCCCCCCCCCCCCCCCCACAGATAACGTTGAGCCGATGCATGTGCTTTCCTCACTGCTAAGCGGAAGGTACGGGGTTCGATCCCCGGCCGCGTCATACCAAAAGACGTTAAAAGATGGTACTTGTTGTTACCCTGTCTGGAGCTCGACATTAAGGGGCTAAAACAAGGACTGGTCGGCTCGGAGTCAGTATACTGTGTCTGAGTGGGGTATTCATGTTAAATTGCGGCATGGTATCTCAGTGGGCTAGCACTATAAATCGGCATCAGTCCGGACTGGTACAAGCAGCCACACACACACACACACAAACACACACACACACGTGCATGCACGTCGCTATATAAGTGCAATAATCTTGGACGCGACGTTAAACCCAATTTCACCTCACCTCACCTCACCTCACCTCCTCACTGCTAAATGTTGTGTCAATGGCGCTTAGTGTGACGGATATTTTCTCGCCTCATGTGAACATTATTAAAAAGTGTTCTTCCCTCATCTCTTTTCAATCCACGCAATTTGGATACGACGATACGCAATCAACCAAGTAACCGAGCCTGACCACCCGATGTATTTAGTCGACTCTTACGACAAGCATAGGTTTCCGGGTCATTTGTCTATCCGAGAATCCCCACAGAAGACAGGAGAAATAATGGTGAATAACAAATTACCTGGAATTTGAAAGCCATATTCTGCAATGGCCACTAGAGTCAGGACGCCTCTGTTCAGGTGACATTTATCCAGACGTATCGTACTGTTCGTCCTCAATGTCGCCGTCAGTCATCACTTTAGTCCAAGGCCAGGCTGCAACTATAGTGTGACAACTGTTAAGGGTTTCCGCTGATTTGTTTAACAAAACAAAGACAAACAGGATACGTCGTATATAGACATAAACCACTTTGGTAAAGCCAACGGACAATCCATGGATCATAATCGGAGTGAATCTGGTATTCGAACCGATATCAGCGGATCCTGGCATAACTAAGGGACTCCACGTAATAAGGAGCCTCAAAACACATGTGAATTTATAGTTTTTTTGTGGTTTATTGTTTTACATGAGACCAGAAGCGATACAAAACGGTGTTTCAGTTATATGTACTTGCAATGTCTAAGTTATAAAGTGAATCCCCGTTTATCAAAATGGTCAACGCTAATCGTTCTCAAAGAAACTTTAGTGCAATGGGGTAGCCTGTCGTTTAAAACGTTCGCTCGTCACATCGAGCAAGTCCCAACATGGTACAATGTATGAAGGTCATGGTGTCCCCTAGTCGACATGTCACTGGAATGTTGCTGAAATCGGTGTAAAACCCTACTCACTCACTCGCTCACATGCTAAATTCTACTTACCACAAGCATCCTGCTAAAGAAATTAGTTTTCCCAATTTTGTTCCAGGATGGTTTCATGTGGGGTCCGTCCGCTAGTCCGCTTGACCTGTCATGATTACCACCTTTGCAGTAGTGTATGTTACCGAGAATCCATCTGCTACTCTGAAAATGTGTTAATTGATTATCAGAAGGTAAATCGTACATCGAAAAATACACAAAGGACGTGAATTGATTCTCTAGATTTTCGTAACCATGGGGGCACGGGTGGCCCAGTCGTCTAAGGCGCCGCGATTCGCTGTGCAGAGCTGCGTCCGTTGCGTCCGTCGAATACCGGTTCGCCCCGATTATGTTTCTGAGACCTGAATCACTTCGGGCTTTCCTCCCACATTAAGCTGACATGACGCGATATTACTGTAATACTGTTAAAAGCGGCGTTAAACCCAACTCACTCACTCACTCACTCGTAACCAAGACAATATCAGGCACCACTTGTTCTGTATCCGGAAACAAAGAAACGACCCTCCCTTCACAATAGAAATAACAGCTATAGTATCCCTTTTGCAATCGTTTCGGTGTGACATTTCATATCAAATATCAACACGAGCCGATGAAAGTTTAAAGTTCGGAGGTTTGGTTTAATTCTACCATACTTGCATACACACGTAACAGACCAAGTGTTAATTGATATAGTGGATGGGGTTTTACGCTATTTTTTGCAATATTCCGGCCACGCCAATGAAGGACACACAGAATACTGGCTTCATACATTGTACCCATGGGGGAAATCGAACCCCGGCCATTAGCGCGTTTTAGCCACAACAGACTACGACATTTCACCAGTTAAATGTTGCAACTATTCGGGCCGATTGTTCGTGATGACATTTGGTAAACAACGCCCCTTCCCGGTGAAAGAGATTCTCTGAAGTTAAAAACTGGATTCATTTCTAGGGGGATGTGCTATACTTTGTA